TAAACCAGAGGTTGCTTTCTGTAGTATATCTCCGAGGGGTATTTTCAGGTAAAATTATCCTCGGGCTAACAATCCGTTGCTGGTACCTTCAGTATTTCGGCAATGCTAGTGTTACCAACCAAAGAAAACGAAAAGTGAGAAAAACTTATGGGAAGTTGAATGCTTCAGATAAAGATAGAATATATCTCTTGTCTAGTTGCTTGTTTTTGTCGTGCCGCCGTATTCCACTTGTCATTTGACTGATTTGTGACCCATTGTGCGATTATCGCGAGCTTCCGATACAGCTGATGGTCGATATTTATTGGCTAGACTAAGAGACCCTGCCATTCTTAAAGCTCTTAGGCTATTCCTGGCTTATCTCCATGACCAACCATCCACCGTGTGTTTTGATGGGCACACTAACACCAGCATCAAATTAATGTTAGCTTCGGAGGGACTTCCTAGTGACTTGGACTCATTGCGGAAGTTATATTTCCGTTTCCACAACGCGTATGGCATTGGTCTGGCTGAAGTTGACGCTGATCTCTCCGCCTTCAGGTCTTACTTCTCGTCCGAGAAACTTCTCCGGTTACAGAATATTAGGGAAAGTCAGAGCAAATATTTCTCTAGTGGCTCTCCACGTAATAATAAAAATTCTTGACGCGACCAGAGGATCAAGCACCCTCTGTAAGGTTGGACGATGGCAAACTTAGTGTATTTCTTATTAATATTCAGTCCTTAAGACACAAAACAGATGAATTATTTCTTTTATTAGAAGTAGGGTTACCAGGGCTGGAACTCTGTAACGGATAAGGATCGTTATCCCTATCGCTATGGCACTTGCTGTCTTCTTCTTTCTTGTCGGAATCAATAGAGAGGGGACAGCAATAGAGATAGAGAAAATATCTTTATTTGTTACAGAGTTCCAGCTCAGACCTCCTATTTTTAATATGAGACTCATATATTTTTACTGTTTCTCATATCTCATATTAGCATGTTTAATATGAGACTATTTCTCATATATTTTGATTAAAAAAAAGAAACCATGTATATCACTACCATACACGTGATAAGTCGGAGTCTCATGCATCCGTTTTCCGACGTCCGATGTCCGAAAAACCTTCTAGGTATTCTGGCATAATCGTATAAAAATATGTCAAAATAGGAGGTTTTTCGGACATCGGAAAACGGATGCATGAGACTCCGGTTATAGGATGGGGTCTCATGCGATGCGTCCCATCCGACCGTCCGATGGTACGATGGAGCTCCTATTGGCTGAAAAATTTCCCGCCACTTTTTATCCGAATATTTCCAACGTTTTTCCGACGTTGCCGAATAAATAATATTTTACTTTTATCGATTTTGTACATAATAAATGAGACTGACGGATCAGGAGGAGCATTTAACTACCTACAAAAATGTCCAGCAATACATTCCAAAATCTGCTTAAAATCATAACTAAATGTTAAGATAGGAGCTTTTTCGGATTTAAGTATTTTGCAGTACATACATAAAATATTCTCATATATTATTATCCAATCTCATATAATTTTTCACAGGCTCTCCTATTTTCAAAACTCAAGTATCTGGCAACCCTAATTAGAAGAGCTTAATTTTCCAGAAATCATTGCCATTACTGAACACTGGTTAAATATGGATGAACCTGTGTTTGTCAAAAATTACACCTCAATAGCTAGATTTAATCGAAGTAATTTATCTCACGGAGGCACTATGATAATGTCCACTAATAATGACTTTACGGCAATAACCAAGTTTGATAATTTATTATCGGAAAAAATATTTGAATTTTCCATCGTCTATCATAGTGGCTTTGACCTTTATATTGTTTGTTTATATCGATCACCGGACACAGACGCGCACATGTTTTGTCGGAATTTGCTGAGCTTGCTTGACTCCTTGCCCTTGAATTGCAAAATAATTTTATGTGGTGACTATAATATAAATTTTTCCTGTGTGTGCGCTGCTCAAGAATCTCTCCAGTCCATTTTCGACTCCTTTGGGATTGTGATGCATGTAAACTCTCCAACCAGAATAACCAAAACTAGTTCTACTACCATTGACTATGTCGCTTCATCTTTTGATCCAGAATTGGTCAACTGTTCTATTTTTAGTGCAGGGTTTTCTGACCACGAAGCAGTATTAACGAATTTCTCATTGAATTCCTTACGTAAGGGTGCTTCCCGCAAATTGGGCAGAATATTTTCGGATGGAAATTTTTTAAATTTCAGTCAACTTTGCTTATCAGTTGACTGGGTCGTCCACTCAGATGATGTTGACTCCGAGTTCTCTAGATTCATAAATACCCTATCTGACCTGGCGACTAAATCCTTTCCTCTCAGACCCATCAAAGTCAAACGGCATAAACCATGGTCCACTAGTGGCTTGCGTACTTCTGGAAAAAATATGCGATCCTTGTCTCATCTAAAAAACTTCTCGGATAGCGTCTTCTTCAATGATCACGTAAAATTATACCGAAAAGTCTATCAGAAAACCATAAAAGCCGCCAAAGACATTTATTATAATAGGAGGCTGGCAAACTCCAAAAATGTTGCAAAAGAAACATGGTCAATTGTTAATGACTTGAGGAATAAGGCTTCTTTATCTAGCAAAATTCCTACTTCACCTGAGATCCTTAACGATTACTTTGTTGACGTGGCTAAGAATTTAGTGAATACCTTAACTCCTTCCCAGGTCCCAGGACCCACTTTCATATCTCCCGAATGCTAAGGTGAACTTACACAGTTTCTTCTTCACGCCTGTAGTAGTTCCAGAGCTTTGCAGTACAATCAAAGATATTAAAAACAAATCTTCATCTGGGACTGATGGACTTACCCTCAAAATGTTCTCTAATCTTCCTGATTGCACATTAAAACATCTTACTACTTTGATCAACAAGTCGTTTCTTAATGGAGCTTTTCCAAACTGTCTTAAGATGGCGATAATTATCCCACTGCATAAGGGAGGTGATAAGGAGCTACCTTCAAACTATCGCCCCATTGCACTCCTTCCTACGCTATCAAAGATCATAGAAAGATTGGTTAAAAAGAGGCTTCTATCATTTCTCTCTAAATATAATATTCTAACTACCAGTCAATTCGGTTTCCTAAGTAACAAATGTACTAATGATGCAATGTTTTCCCTTTTCAATAATGTATACTCCAGCCTGAACTGCCACCACTCTACAGCCTCAATTTTCTGTGATTTCTCCAAAGCTTTCGACTGTGTTAATCATAATATCTTAATTAACAAATTACAGTTCTACGGTTTCAGAGGAATGGCTCTCGAATGGTTTAAGTCTTATCTTGGTAACAGAAGTCAGCTTGTGAAGGTGGACTCGACCATGTCCTCTTGTAAACCAATTGAATGTGGTGTGCCTCAGGGTTCAGTTCTTGGCCCTATTTTGTTCCTGCTATTTATTAACGACATTGCTAGTCTGGATATTATTAGCGGCAAAGTTTGTCTCTTCGCAGACGATACTAGTTTCACTTGGAGCAACCCGGATATTACGGAACTCCATAGAACCGTATCTAGTGACTTAATCACTATCAAATCATGGTGTGACTCAAATCTCCTGTGCCTCAACCTCTCTAAAACCAAAGTTTTATCTTACAGAGCTTCGCTCCAATCTGTAGTACTGGATAACAATACCATGGAGGCCGTTGATTCCGTGAAATTCCTGGGGCTTGTTGTTGATAAATCTCTAAAGTGGGACCTGCATATCGACGCCTTAGCAAAGAAATTAAGTTCGGCCTGTTTTGCACTGAGATCTGTTTCCAGGGAGCTTAACTCGGCAACTTGCAGGATGGTATATTATGTTCTTTTTGAGTCGCATTTACGTTACGCCCTTCCATTCTGGGGCACGTGTTATGCGTCTCAATTTGAACGCATTTTTAGACTGCAGACGAGAGCTCTTCGTTATTCTTTGGGACTTGGTAGTAGAACTCACTGCCGTGAATTTTTTATCAAGTTTAGTATATTGACTCTTCCATCTTTATTTATTTTCGAATCCGTCTGCTTAATTCGTAAGCACTTAATATCAGCTATCTCAGAGAGGCCATCTCACAATTATCCACTGAGGAACGCAGAGTTGGATCTTTATCTGCCAATCCCGCGCTCAGAGTTAGTTAAAAGTTCAATACTTTATAATGCTAAAAGGATGCATAATCATCTACCGCCTAACATCAGGTCCATTGCATCTTTTCTCGAATTTCGCAGGGCGTTGAGGGTGTATTTACTGGGGAGAGCCTTGTACACAGTAAGCGAGTTGTTTATGGTTTCCTAATTCTAAATTTTGAGCAGCTTACTCACAGGTTTTGTTTTTGTTCCTGTATCATGATAGGTTATTATAAGTTATTGTTTGTTTGTTTTTTTAGTACCTATAATATGCTTACTCGCACAGTATAAGCATTTAGACCTAGATGTTTGTTTATTAGTTTTAATCAAATTTTGACCATGAACTATTTGTTCAAGTGTTTGGTTTTGTCTGTGCTTTTGCATTTGTATGTTTTGTTTTTTATTTTTTCAGCTATGTCCACAAAATTGTAAAATTTTCTGACAATAAAGCAAATTTTTTCTTTCTTTCTTTCTTTCCTTTAAAAAAAAAAAAAAAAAAAATGCAACAAATTGATAGATTTCCTAACAAATCAATTATTTCCGCACTGTCTTCAAAAAAACCACATCTCCAAATAAAAAAGCAAGTTCTCTCCTCTTTTCCATTTTCCGGCCAGCATGAAATCAAAATTCAAAATATAAACAAATAGCAATAACACAACAGGGGTAACCGCGGTTAATACCAAACGCGTTTAAGCGAATACAATGAAATGACGTCATCAAGTGATCTGTCATCTTGAACCAAAGCGTAACCGCGGTTAAAACCACAAAATTGTGGTTATTCGCTTAAAATTGGCTTTTCTATTGTGAAACAAATTTGACAACACCGCGATTAATTAATGGCAGGTGGAACCAAAATGCTCAATATTAAAAAAAAAGAAGATTTTTTTCTGATGTAAGTATTTGACAACTGTCAGTTGTGCGAGCCAAGCAAGTTTAAAATTTTAGATTTCCGTTCAAACTATTTCAGAAACTTTTGTTGCGTTGTTAGTTGTCTACTGTTAGAAGATTATTTATAAGTTTTATCAATTGATTTTTAGTATAAGTTAACTAAATACTAACTACTTGATGTAACTCTGAAGAAATAGGTACCTCAAACAACAAATATCTACCTTCTATAGTAATAACACGGCAACGTAACTTCTATGTGAAGTAAAATGCTGAGAAACGAATCCACATCTGAAGGTCGTTGCTACAACTTAAACGACCCTGCGCATGCTACAAACCTCGTAAAAAGTTTGAGTTCCTTTATTGAACTTCAAAGTTTGGTCGACATTTTGATATTGTGCGGAAACCAGAGTTTAAGGGCTCATAAGCTGGTTTTGGGTTTACATAGCTCTTTCTTACAAGTAAGTTACCTATTCAAGAAAATATTGGATAATCTTGAAGTAAGTTAAGTAGGTATACCTATACCTATATCTCTGAACTCATATGGCTTCACGATATTATAAAAATTAAAAATAGCTCCCCATAGTATAGGTCAAACAGACAGGACCAAACTACTAGACACATATAGGCTTCAATGGGACCAGTTGACTGATACCCATTTCACTGCAGGATCGTCAAAATTCGTGCATCTCCGGCAGCTTGGCTAAATTCGGCTTCGGCAACACCGCCTCGATTCGCTTAAACCGGATATACAAGCTAATTCGTCTTATTTACTCCCTATGTGTCTAGTACTCTAGTAGATTGGTTCGGTCTGTATGTAGGTAGGTATATGCCGCTCAATGTATTTTAATTTTTTACCTTACGGTACTAAAAAAGCGCCAAACATATTAACGCATTCTAGCATGCAAGAAGAGGATTTAGATAATTCATTTTTTTCTAAGAAGAGTAAACCACAAAATGAGGCTGAAGTATAAATTTTTTTTTGTATTCTGAATAATGAAAAATTCACATTTTATTATTTCAATCCATATATGTATTAGTTTTTCAAAAATAGCATATACGTTGAATATTCTTTTTGGAGTGTAGTAATAGGTAATCTTATTTTCTTTCAGGAGGAATTTCAGAAAAATCCAAACATTGAACAAATCGTTCTGGGAGGTATGGACTTTGCGGTAATAAAAGACCTCGTCGAATACATGTACTGCGGCAGAACAATTATCGCAGAAGAAAATTTCAAGCATTTCAAAGCTGCAGTGAAACTTTTAAAAATCCAAAATTTAGAAACATATTTTTTCAATGATTGTAGTGGTAATATGTTTCCAACTCCTTTAGTTTTAAATACTTGATTAAATTATCAACTTCTCAGCCGATGACATCTACTTACCCGAACCACAATTTCTAACGAAAAAACCTAACATTTTTATGGCATTCTCCCCAAATAAATCAACTAAAAACGCTACTAAATCTTCCAATACTGCTTCTGTAACTAATGCGAAATTCCACCAACAAGAACAGAAGGTTATTGAAAAAAGCAATTCCTTAACCATTAAGCCATTTAAAGAAAATGTACCGATAAAGCAAATACCTCCTACTCACATACCGATGACAGCAACCATGAGAGGCAAAAGAGTTTTAAAAAAACAAGTCGAACAAGCATTTTTGAAAGAAGCTCAAGCTTCTCGTTTGGCACTAACTAATTTACAAAAGGAGATCCGATCTACATCACAGGTAAATTTATCCAGGTTTTGAAAAACACATATTACACAGTGATTACTAAAAGAGCAACAATTGATTAAATATATCTATAAATTTTTGTTTCTAAAATTTAGAGCGTCAATTTTATTGTCGAAGACACTTGCGCCGAAACGTGTATGGAAAATTTCATACCGCAACCAGAAGAAACTCCTTCGTACTTGGAGATAGACCGAATCAAAAAAGAAACCCCACAAAGTAATTCATTTCAGCCACCATCATTATTTGATGATGGTAAGTTAAAAATCAAATTATCAAAATAGATTTTCAAGTTAATACATAATATGGCTCATAATGAACAAGTTATCATTGTTGCAGAAAATATTCTGTTATTGTTTCAGGTCCGAATCAAAGCCAGTTACCGACAAGCAACATTGAAAACATCTTCGAAGCTCAAAATTCATCCAATGTAGAAAGTATGTATAAAAACAACAGTGCGGAAATATTGTGTTTTAACAAACCAATTTTAGAAGATTTGATCCCCCGTGGTACATGTTTATCACCTTAAATTATGGGTTTTTAGCGTTTTGTCTGTTTTAGATTTGCAATATCAGTATGGCATCGAAAACAATCCAACACAGACAGTTCCTGAGCAATCGCAACACATTATCCAACTTGGGAATTTTTTGAATGCAACCAATAGTAGCTTCAATGTAACTGTAAATTAGGTATAATTATCCCTTGTATTGTACTTTTTTACAATTTACAGGAGAGTTTATGCAACATAGATACAAATCTTCGTAATGAATGTCCCATAATCATACCTACAACCTCCTCTGCTATAGGACAACCATCTATGGAAGTTTCAGATTTTGATGATTTGAATTCGTTCTTTAATAATTTTCAGTGAGTTATTATATTTATTAGTATAAAATATTATTTATCAATTTTTCCATATGTGCTTTTTTTCTCATTATTGAACCAGATTTTTAATTGATCAAATAATGTACTGTAACAACTAATTAGTTGTACTATTATTATGATATTTATGTTAGGAAACCTAGCTGTAGTATCTGTGATGCTGAATTTCTTGACTCACGTTACACGGTTTATCTCTGTGATAGGAGCAGTCTAAACAGTGCTAAAAGCCGTGGTGGTGAGGTGCTTTTGGCAGTAAATAATTGCTTTAAATCTCATCGTCTGTCAATTGGTGAAGCATCGGTGGAGGAAACATGAAAGTCACTGACTTGGTCTTCTGTATTGGCAGTGTCTACATTCCACCTACCATGGATTTTTCGTATTATGAAAACCACTTGAAATCAGTTGCGAGTGTCTGTGGACAAGTATAACGCCCCATCAAAATTCTTTACACATCACTAGTCAGATATATTCTTGAATTTTCTTGCATAGTTTGGTCACCTTACTATCAGATCCACATCAGTAAACTTGAGAGTGTTCAACACAAATTTATCAAGTTTGTCTCTGAGTGGTGTGATTGTCAGCTTTGACCAGACTATGACTTACTTAGACTTAACTACCCTTGTTCGCAGAAGGGAATACTTTGATGTCTGTTTTGCCTTTCAATATCCTTAACTACTACATTAGTTACTGTCGTACTTGGTACTTACTTTTCGGTCCTGTTAATAGGATATTTGCCAATGTGAATAAGTTCTATGAGGGTCTTGACTTTTTTAGTTTATCTCAGGATAAATTCAAGACGCGGGCCAAGAGAATTGTTTTAGGTAAGATTTTTAGATTTAAACTTTGTATCACTTCAAATGTATTTTTTTATACAAAAATAAATAAATGAAAAAAAAAAAAAATAAAAATAAAGTAAAAAAATCAAATGAAGTTCATTCAAAAAAACTATGCATAAAATCTGTAGAAGTTTTTTTTTATTCATTTTACTATATAAACACTATCAATGTAATAACAACATTAAAATAATGACCTTTTAAAGAAAACCTCTCATGTAAAAAGCTAGAAAGAAAAAAGATTTCTATAATATAATGGGAGAAAAAGTTAAAATATTTATCATGCGTGCATCAGACATTTGTTTGGGAAAACACCAAGTACAAAGGAAAGCTTTAAATTAACAAAAATCGAAAAGCCAGTGCTTGCTGTATTCCCAATTAATTACGGAGGTGTACCAAATTTAATATTGCTTGATACTACCCTGATAAAATAGGGTAGCGTCAAGCATATTTGTTACAGCTCCAAACATAAAATCAATTCAATTCAAACTTTTCATAAGGTACAATTTGTACTATAATTTTGTCTTTTTAACAACATAAAAATTGACAGAATTGGTACTTGCCAGCAACCGTTTACATAAATAAAAAATTCCAAGCAAGTACCTTACATTATATAAGGGAGAAAATTATGTTTAACACAAAAAAAGCGAAATTTTCTACAAAGAAAAAACATGATACATTATAAATTTCAAATATTCACAGGGTGTTTATAAATTATAACAGTAATTATTATTTATTATTAATAGAAAAAACAATCACAGTTTATAATAAAAATAATTTAAAAACACTCTGTACAAAAATAATTGCAACAAAATGACTAAATATTAATTTCCAAAGAAAAATTATATTTGGTCACTTTGTATAAGTATAGCAATAATTATAAAACTTTTGATCCCTCAATTTTCTATTTTGGAAACGAAAGTAATTTCGTTAAAATAAAAGCTCTTTTGTCCTAAATTATCTTATAAACGATCATTAGTACTTACAGACATTCACCATTTTTTGTAATAAAATATAAAGATTTTTTTTTTGTATACGTATGTACATTAAGTCTCAAAAAAGACTAAAATAGAGACGATGCCGGAAATGTAAAAAGTTCTTTTGAGATAATCATGCAAAAGTTATCAAAAATATAAAACAAAAAACTAAAAGTGCGCTCCAAAAAGAAAACAAATTCACTATACAGGCACTGCAAGATTTATAACACGGGATTATCAAATTTAGATCCTTTGCTGATATAAACCTCTTCGTAGGGTCCGGCCTGTTCTAATTCTAAAACGCTGAACTTTTTTAGCACCAGAAAACTGTAGAATTTCTGAGCCGCCTGTTTCCGTTTGTTACGATGGCAGAGTTCTGAGAGTGTCAGTTCATTGTTTTTCTGTAGTCGTGTTTTTACAGTCAAAAATAGTTGATATGCTCGTTTATTTAAAACTCTCTCTTCAAATTGTTCGTCTGTTTCGTCCACTAGTTGTTCTTCAGCCTTGAAAAGAAAAAAAAAAGACTTTATATTATCAGTTTTCACCACGAGATGTCAGCATTTTGCTTCTAGGAATTTATTATTTGAATGAAAAAGTATTTAGAGCTACATTTAAACTCACTGTAGGCCTCATAGAAACCTCAAAATTTAAATAAAAATTAGACTTTTTTGAAAGATGTTGAAACAATCAACATCATAAACAAATTTTTTTCTATGTAATTCGATACATTTTATTGCAAAACACAAAATATTCAAAGTAACTTACAGGATCTACAGAAGCTGGCAAATCGTAGTCTCCACCCCAAGGTGAGTGCACTCGCTCTGACATGCCTGCATGAGGAGTTTGGTTTGGTAAATGACCATCATAACCCATATTTGCCATCTAAAACAAACACACATATTTATTAATAAATAGTAAAAATACTTAAACCAAAAGTCATTAGATTTACCTGATCATATCCCATATTCTCCATTTGGGGCAAGTCTTGCTGTAGCTGATCAAGAGGTCGTTCAGGCAGCTGAGGCTGTATACTGTGTTGCGGCGTATGAGGTACACCTACAAAGTAATAGGTATGTTAATTAAATTTAAAAATGTTATTATTTTAAGCAAAATTACCTGGTATATGCGGATCTAGGCCGAACGGAGGAAGCCCTAAATGGGACCCTGGGAACTGGGGGTGCGATGGACCACCCATTTGATGGTGGGCCATGAGATCGTCTGGGTGTGCTTGAGGTGTCATATGTGGAAGACCTTAATATAAAAAAATATGAATTAATTCTGATGCAAGAGGATATTTTTTTCTTTAGCAGTATTCCCTTTTCTCCAGAGTACAATGTAATGCAGACATCAGTTGCTTTAAGGCAACAGTCCCAAACCGATACATAAAATTGTTAATGCATATTATTCTGATTGTTTAAATAAATTGTCTGTAACTTATTTCTACAATCTACAGTAAAAATTCTTACCTAAACTCTCTTGTTGTTGCAATATTGACTGCACCTGATCGGCAGCCAGATGAGGCATTTCACCTTCAGGAATATGAAGTGGCGTTTGTCCTGGTAAGCCTGCGGGCGTTTCCGGATACCCACTGCCAGCATAACCGGGAGTCGGAGGGGGAAACGAACCCATTTGGGATGGGTGCATTGGCGTTCCAGGAGCGTGAATAGGCGTACCTAAATATGCTATTGTTAGACAAATTCCAATTATTTTGAACAACAATAATTAATTGGAAATTTAAAATTTAACCAACAATTTTTGAAGTAAGAACTACTAGAGCCATTGTTGTGACAATAATACTTCTTGATCGTAGTTGCATGAAGGTTGTACCAGTTTTTATCATTATGTGAAAAAGTTTGTCAAAATTCAGATAGGAGTTTTTTCTAGTTAAATAAATAATAATCAATAAAGAAGACAGTATTATTTTTAATAGATCTAGTGGAAAGAAACAATAATATACAGGGTGGCCCATCAAAAACAGTCCAGCAAGGTTTATGCAAGTAAAAATTATAAAGAACCCTCGGACCCGTAAACTTTTATTTTCAAAGAAACACGTTTCACTATTAATTTCATCCCTGTAATCTTAACCTCCTAGCGGTGACGGCTACTACCCCTATTTTCTCAAATCTCACGACGGAAAGAATGGACAGACCCTTAAGTAGGGGAGGCGGAGTTGCCTGCCTTATATACAATTCTTTCAAATTTGAACGAATCAGCAACATAATATCGAACATTGAACACATAACGATAGAAATTCCCCCAACTCAATAAGAAGTGCCAATGACAAAGGAACCTTCTACCCGAGAAATTGAAGAGGAATTTTGATAAGTGACCTCAATGCCAAACACATCAATTGGCTGAATAATAGCAACAATAGGGCAGACAACATTCTCTTCAACTATTTAAACAACCACCAAAACGTAATACTGCAACACCCCAACAACCCCACACTTTACCCAACCAACGGAAGAACCCCATCCATAATATACCTAGCACTGACCAAAGGACTGGCAGGAATTGAAATAAAAACATTCTTGGATCTGACCACCTGCCAATATTCCTGAACTGGAAAAACCACCCTCCAGGGCAGGGACTGCAGCAAGTTTACTTAAACAAAAATCTCAACTAGACACTTTTCAAACGGAGACTGAACGACATTACCACAATCCGCAACCCCATCACGAACATACCCGAACTAGAGTGACAAGTCACAACACTACAAAACAGAAAGACCAAATGGCGCCAAAAATCATGGTAAAACAGAGAACAGATACCATACCAGAGTCCGTTCTAGCACTTATCAAGGAGAGAAACATGGTAAAAAGAGCATGGCAAAGGCGCCCGAACATACTGGACACACAAATCATCAAATTACTAAATAAAGAAATAGAAATATACGAACGGAAACTGGCCCGAAAACTTATGCGAACAGGAGCGCAGCAGACAGACTTGGTAGTGGACAGCGTCAGTTACTACAGTATTGGACAAGTCACCTCATGACAACCACACACACCACAATATAGCGGCAAGCAATATAGGTTCAGAATATGTTTGGGATCTTCTCCGCGAAAAACATGTAAAAGCTCTATAATTCCTCGAATTCATAATAATAACAAAGGGTACAGTTACCCTTATCATATTATGCAGTACAGTTACCATATTATCGACAGCCAAAGCCCAAAGGTAGGTACTCCCAATATCAGAAAATGCCAATTTTGAACACAAATATTTTAGGTTCACGCGCCTGGTCAAATGCACCGATTATGAAAACAACGAACTATACTTCAACAAAAAACCAAAATATTTTTGGGCCAATGGGTAGTGGAAAACCTGCATCAGACATTCTTGGATGGACAAAACTGCCACCCTTGTACCAGTGGAGTAATTACTGATTTTATAAATGCTCGGTCCTTTTGACTGACACGCATGTACTCCCTGGTTAAAAAGATGTATCACAATATACCCTTTCTGATTTGTGAAAATAGGGGTAGCAGCCGCCACCGCTAGCCCTTCCCATTTAAAAAAATATAGGGACAGTAGCTGATTGAGATTACAGAGATGAAATTCATAGTGAAACGTGCCCCCCTGAAAACAAAACTTTACGGAGTCCGAGAATTTTTTAAAATTTTCACTTTCAAAGCCATAAACCTTGCTGGAGTGTTTTCGATGGGCCACCCTGTATAAATAATATACATTCTTACCTGGATGATGCATAGGTGTTCCAGGATGATGTGGTGTACCTGGCGGATGAATTGGCGTTCCAGGCACGGCCAAAGGTGAATGAAGCGGAATAGGAGTTCCAGGCGGTAGATGATCTGGTGATGGATGATACACTGAAGGTGGACCAAGAGGTGTTTCTTGAGGTACGTGCAATGGAGTTGCTGGTGGGAGCGGAGTCTCTGGTTGAGTCATAAAAGGCGTTTCCTGAAATAAGATTTATTTAAAACATATTATAAGTATGCATTGAATGAATATTTACAGGTTGTTCTTCCACAACGTTCTTCCTTTTCCTGCCTCTTTTCGCTGGCGTAGGTTCTATACTGGGTTCATCGTGGTCTCTAGCTTGATCCAATGCTAACGAATCTGCATCTCCTAACATTGCAAAGTCCTCATTTCTGATAGATTTTAATGTCAAATGCCTCTGATAGATCTAGAAGTACAGTATTTAATGGAAATATTTCAAAAAATTGCAGTATTAACTTACTCTGAATAATAACCTGGCAGGAATTGCTCTACCCGGTAGGGCAAATAATTTTTCTACCCCTCCAGTTTCCTTCCAATGCATCAGTCTTTTGGTGGGTGGAGCCAAATCCAAGGATGTAACTATGATTAACAAAGAAAATATATGAATTTAAAATAGTTTATATTTTGCAAACAATTCACAAATACTATCAGAAAATAAATCATAATATTATGTTGTTGGGATTTTGATTCAAACAGATTCAGAATGATTTACTAGTGCTTACCTATATCGCTGGTGTCGCTGAGTTGATTCTTCATCTCTTCCCCACTGATATTTTTCACTTCATCTATGATCAATTTCCTTTTTCGTTTCGTTTTCGTAATGCCTAAAACAAACATATCTATTCAGAGATAAGAGCAGTCCTCGGAACGAAAAGAAAAAAAGCAAAGGTAACAGAAAATGGAAACACAAACACAAAAAGTGTGTGTAAGTACATTAATCTACCGAAATTATTACCCTTTTGATAATGGAATCACAAACATTCCAAATTTAAATGCAATGTAGTTCCAGATTGATTCTGTAAAAATTTTAGTTGTACCTATTGGATGTGATCTTGCCTATAAAATTTAAAAACTGAGAAATTTAGCTGAATTAAAGATATAAATACAATACCATAGGCGGCCAGTTTACAGAAATCTTAAGTTACCTTTCAACGCAGCAGCATCAACAGGAGGCAAAGCAAAACTCTCTTCTTCATTTTGCAATAAAGTTGTTCGATCTGCTAAAGGTGGCGCTTCTTCAGCTTGAAGAATCTATTAAAAAATGTTGTTCTTAAAAAGTCTATGTTTGATAAATTTAGAACATACCTCTGGTGGTGCAGGTGTAGGTTGAGCACTTCTCATAGATCTCATACTTGGAGCAGGTGATTGAGGTGGAATAGAGGGTTGCGCAGGAGTGTGCGCTCCTGTAAGGGGATGTTGAATGTGGTCTTCGAGTGGCGTGGGCGGTCTTGAGTCACCAGAACTGAGATAAAAGGAAATCATAACAATTGATTAGTTATAATAATTACATTTATTTTATTTTTTTCTTCCTAAAGCAAACCTTGCAAGTTTTAATTTATAAATTCAAGTAAAGTGAGTGTTTTTCGAAATTGAAAAAAAAAAAAAATGATTCCTAAAATCAGAAATAGATAGCAATAACACTGAAATTCATAAACTATCAAAAGTGGTCAAATAATGGAAAGAAAACATACAAGAGAAACCCTCACTTGCTAACATTTCCATAGAAAGCTGAAATTTTCATTGATTCTTATTTCAGTAGACGACTACAATCCCTGAAAATTTCAGCTCATTTGCACTTAATAGTTCCAGAAATAAAACCGTTAAGCAATTTGGGATGATTAATTAATTTTTCAATTTTTCTGAGTGCCTTTTTTCATAGAATATGGCACCAAATTTCAGAATAATTTAGTGTATGGAGTTTGGTGGATCCCAAAGGACCATTAGAACACAAAATTTCAAGCAAAAAAAATTGAAATTTCATCGTTTTAGTAAGAAGGTATGTATGATTTAGACTTTTAAAGATCATAACTTTTTTTCTATTATAGATAGAATTATTTCCATGATAGTCAACAGTAGGTATGTCATATTCACTCACCTCATCCCTCCCACTGAAGGCGGCCCACCAAAATTATCCATATCGCCATCGTCTTCACTATCAGCCACATGCGGTGCTGAAATATCAGGAACAGGCACTGGTAAACTTGCATCCGGAGGCACTTCAGGCATTGGCGTTTCATCAAATAAACCACCCTCAAAGAGACCACCAGCTACCAAAAAAAAACATCATTAAAACAAATAAAAAATAAGCAACATTCGTACATATCAAATTGTCATCTGGCACTCCAGTATCAATTTCCATAGGTTGATCGTGGTGCTGAGTCCCAGATGTAGAAGGCATAGGTTCAGAAACTTCCTTGATAGTTTCATTTTCAAGTACAGGTTCGCTGAAAAGCAAATTACTTTGCTCCATTGAAGGTTCCAGTGAGCCAGCGTGCCGCATTAAATCCGGTGGGTCACTGTCAAAACCCATATCGCCAAAACCGTCATCGTGGTTCACTAATGATATGTTTCCATATTCTTCTCGCATGGTGATTTCTTCTGCGCGAGATTGGTTGAGGCTGAATTGAGCTTCAATATCAACATCACTAAAAACCATGTGGGTATTATGAATAGTTTTTATTTAAATAGAATGAGTTTTACTTACTTCAATTCAGGTATAGCAGTGTCGAAATCGTGAAAAACTTCAGGTAAAGTGATTGCGTTGACAGCAGCTTCCCTGTGTTCCTCTGGTAGATCAACCATACCGGGCCTAAAGGCCATTTTAATTTTGACGAAAGCTTCATTGCAATCTGCTAGTAGGTACTTGGCTTTGCGGGAGTAAATTCTCACTACACCAAGTAGCAAGTGACCTGAGGTTCTGAGGGCTAGTTTTACTTTGGGTTTGATGATACCTGAATAGATGTTAATGGATTAGATTTTGATTTATTTGAGGTTAAGAAAAAAAAAACCACAAAAGGGTTTTATAAATATTTTTTCCTACGACTGCCTCTGAAAATGGAGTTTTTCGCACGCTAGGCAACCTCTGAAATTAGAGTTTTTCGCACAGCGTGCTAAAAAGTTTTTCACACGCTCCTCAGCGTGCGAAAAAGTTTTTCACACGCTTCAAGTTTTCTAACAAATGGAAATTATATATTTGGTTGTTTTATTTTGAAGTTGTAGGAAAAGCATTGTAAAAAACTCGTTTGAAAACCTTTTTTCACACTTGCTCGACTTGTGGAACTCGCCTACGGCTCGGTCCAACAAACTGTCTCGCCGTGCGAAAAAAGTCGTTTTCAAAACTTGTTGTTTAAATAACTATTTCAATATTGGTACCGTAGAGATTTTAGTTAAAGTTTGAAGCAAAACCTACATTCTTCTCTTGATTTGATTTTGGCTCATTTGAAGTGGAGAATTCACTGGATTGAAATCCAAGTAAAGGGTTGTTGTTCATAAATTGACCCCCACCAAGGGGTCAATCACTATGCTTACAAGTGTACAATAATTTCCATATTTGGCAATCACTGATCAATGAATCTCATGTATTCACACACCAACAATTTTGACTGATTACCAATGATTTTCAGATATTTTTGTATGATTATTAGGTGATTTCCATTTTTTCTGGGGATTCTGAGGGGGATTCCTATATCATTCCCAATTGATCACCTGATTTCCTCGATGTTTCCTAAAATCTTCAGATTTCCAGCTGATTTTATCACAAAATGATGTCTAATTGTTAAGCTTCGCATTGATATGACCATAATAAACAGTATTTTCTCTTATAAAAACATGTTTCCACTGAAAAATAGGCAACTTCTGTATTTGCAACTCTTCCAAAAGTTAGCAACTTTTATTTCCATGGTTGTCCACACCCACACCGATTTTGTTGTAGGTATAAATAGTTGTTGAGCCCTAGATACCATTGTGTGTCTACACTGCATAATATGGATATAAAATAATGGATATTTCTTTGATTTCACTAGTAGGTTCATCTGAATTAGAGACATCGTCAGTTTAGGGATGGCACCTCGGTCAATTGACCAGTCAAAAGTTGTCAATTGACTGTCAATTTGACCGATGCTAGAATATTTGACCAAATCAATTTGACCAATTAAAAAAAAATTACCTGCAATAGTTTATTATAAAAAAAATAAAGCAAAATTTTTCTCTAGAAAATGAAACAAACAAAACTTCTTTCTATTGGTAAAAAGGACAAAATCAACACTTTTTTTTATGAAACGAAAAACAAAACTACTAAGGCTTGGTTTATCCATCTTGAGCTAAACTTGCTGCTGACTATCTGATGCTTAATGTACCGTTCTATAATTCTATTGGTCAGCAGATAACTTGACGATCAATGGGATTACAGATTGCGTTTTTAACTAGATTGCATACCTGAGAGTTTATCAGAAGGTTTGAAAATGTAACTTTCAGGAGTTTCAGGTAAATATTTCAAAATAAACAATTAAAAATCTTGTCTATCTCTTTCTTTGAGTATTTGCCCTTGTTATGTAATACCTGGCGGCTAGACCAGGAATAAATGGATGCAATAATGCTACCGTCATAGCATCACGCTCCCCACTATTGTAGTATTTGACCAGAGCAATTTGACAAATGACCGGTCAAATACTAGGTCAATTGAACGAAAGATATTTGACCGGTCATTTGCCAACCCTACTTCAGTTAGGGTTTCACTCAAAAAACTCAATTCTGATTCAGATGTGCTATCGTCTCTGCTTCTCGCACTGCCTAGTAAGTTCTTATTGCCCTGGATTCTTGACTTTTTCTTTTGTAGCTTCCTCAGCTCTTAATACTCGTTTGACAAACGTCCCTGCTTTTCTGAAAAGAACCAAATTAAAGTTGAGACCGGAATAGTCTCTAAATTATAGCGAATCGCAATTGCTAAACCCTGATGTGTGAAGAAATTCTGTGTCTTCTTCTGGCAAGTCGGATTCGAGAGATGTTTCAAGATTCATGTTTTCATTTTTATGCTCTACAACATTGTCATACTTTAAGTCTGTTCTCACAAAAATCACAAACCAGTCAGAGCGAATTTCATTGGTTGAAAATAGTCAGAAAACTGGTTGTAGGCGATTTGCATCAATCAAAAACGCTCTGAATGGTTTGTGATTTCTGTGACAACAGACCTAATCTTCATCTCGTTCTTCTTCTTCTTCAAGTTCTATAGTCTTCGTAGTCTCAGGTTCAGTTATTGGCTCAATTATTGGGAAACTCGTTGGGATATCAAATTCATTTCAAATTGTCTAGCGCTCAAGTTGCCTAAGACTTAGTCTTAGAGGCAAATACACAACTGACTGGTACGCTGTATCATTTAAAATGTATGATATGCAATTTCTGGGTGAAAATGAGATGATATTCCCAGCGATTACCACATGATTCTCAGCGATTGCCAATGGATTCCTATGTTATTCCCATGGAGTCCTAGAAGATTCCTAGCGATTCCTAGGATATTCCCAGGGACTCCCAAGTAGAGATTGAAGTTTACAGGTAATTTTTCGGTTATTTTGGTAATTTTGGAAATATTTCATGAAACAAACAATTATGTCTATGTATATATACTATACGTTCAAGGAAAGGTAAATACCTACTAAACAAATAAATGAAATGAGCTGAATAAGTATAGCATAAAAGATAACTCTGTCATGAAAATTAATTACTTTAAGCGCACAGGGTTGGCAAAAACCCGGGTTTTTGAAAATTTCTATTGGTTTTTTGGGTTTTTGCGAGAGTTATGCTTTTGTAGGATTTTGTGTTCTAAGATCTTTGACTCTTTGACCTTCCAAATAATCTCAAACTCATAACTCAACAACAACCCACCAGGTTTTTGAAATAGGTTTTTCCTACGAGCACAATGTTCTAATTCAAAATATAGGTACTACATATTTTTTACTTTCAAATCAAATTACTATCTATAGGTACTATTTTCCATTGAGAAAACCTAGATCTTACATAGATTTTTTGATAAATGAGATGGACAAAAATACTTGTGGAAAAACATTACACCTAACTTCTACAGAAAATATCTTTTTCACCATTGACAGCACCACTTGTTAGGTAAATAACTATTTATTTATGCTAACCCTGAAAGGGCGTTACAGATTCACAACAAAATGGCGAATAATTAATGAAAACGATTGTCTTCTGAATGTGATTTCATTCAGGAAGCATTTCTGAAAATTACCGGTAAAGAAATTTGTCAGGTTAAATTACCAAAATTACCGTTACCGCAGTAACGTTACCACACTTTAATCTCTACTCCCAAGTGATTTCCATGTAAATATTCCTGATTGATTACTATATCCTGTTCACAATCCGATGTCTACAGGTGCAGGTAAATTTATCACCTTTCCCTATCAAATAGCATTGAAAGGTGACTTTACCTGTACCTACCTGTAGACATCGGATTGTGAACGGATAATATGTGATTCTCAAAAAAATGATTTCCACTAAGTAGTGGTTCACCCCTTGACTCCCACGGAAAAAAATAAAATTATACAGGGTGTTTCATTTAAGATTTGAGACTTACACGCAAAGAAAAATTGAAACTCCCTGTAAGAATGGAGAGATTTCGTTTTTTTTTTTTTATCAAATTCTAGAACAGAAATTAAGTATAAAAACACTACTTATTTTAAGGAACATTTGAATTGTGGTTGATTCAAACACCAAAATACCCACCAGATATGATGTTATTTGCTTCAACAAGTAATAATATACTAGGAACTAGTAAATATTGTAAAGTTGTCAGATTGTTGTTGTCATTGTTGATTTCCAAGATTGCCTTTCTTTAAATATCCGGGTTTATAATACATAGTTAATATACCTAATGTTCTTTTGTTGCACCACAATTAAAAAAACGAATGAAAATGTTTAATTGTTAGTACTTTGTACTACAATAGTTGTTGTAGTGATCAGAAAGGATTGAGGGGCTTTTCACCCAAGGAAATCGGTGTACAAATTCCTGGGAATACTTGGAAATAGCTAGAAATTCCTGGAAGTATCTAAAAATACTTTGGAAATACCTAGAAATGCTTAGAAAAACTTGGGAATACTTCGACGAATACCTAGAAATACTTTGAAATACTTGGTAATACGTGCCGAATGATGTGAGAAAACAGTTTGTTTCTGAGTTTCCTGAGCGCTGCTTCTTCTCATAAATTACATAGGTAGGTACTTTTTTTCAATTTTTACAGTGCCAGTTTGTTTTATTTGATTGTGAGAACCTCGGATTATTCAGAGACGTCAAAAAGCAGTCACTAGGATAATAAAGAATCTTGTATTACCATTGAATTAAATGATGGTCGAAGTATATTGGTAAGAAAGTCTGCATTATGTTGGTTTTTTAATGCTAATAATAGCAGACTTTCTACTAACCGCATTTATGGAGTTTAAGGGATGAGAAACCACAAAAAGTCAAAATCCAGAAAAACAGTTTTCTCTAGAGTTTCTATCGGATCTTTGATTAAATCTTGTAAAAGCATCAAAAAAGAATTCCTTACATTGAAAAGGTATAGCTCCTCTAATTCATGATCCTGTTTTGATTCTGAGAACTTTTCTTTAAATACTGATGAAGATTGGTATGTAAACAGACTTTTGAGAATGACTAAAAAATCCTGTAACATGAAATTTTTAAAAAGAAATTTAGACAATTTTGAATGGCCTTTGAGAGAAGATAGTAGAGCGATTGAGAATAAGTTTTTTTTTTGGACCCATTCGCCCATTCCAAGTTTTGTTGGTACCAACATAGAGGTGTTTGGTTTCCTCTACTTTCAGTATACCTTCTCAAATCAATGTAGTGGTAACAAAATGAAATTTAGCCTATTATTTAAATTGAATTAGCTAGTTGGTAAAACTTTACAAGATCAAGAGAATACTTGGAAATACCTGGAAATACTTTGAAATACTAGGGAATATTTGGAAATACTACTTAGAAATACTCGAAAATACATGGAAATATTGTGAAATGTTAAGAAAAATAGAAATCGATGTACAAATTTTGGTAGGTGAAAAGCCCCTCGGAAAGGATATTATGTCAATATATTAGTTTTGAGAAAGCATGACAGTCAATTTGGGTTAATCCATTAGGAAAAAACCTGAAGTATAACAAAACCAAAAATAGGAATTTTCAAAGCCAAGGGTATTTTTATTTGGGTTCATACAACTGATTAAAAATTATAAAGTGATGAAATTCAAATATGGTAGTACTCCTCATACTACCTACTCTAAACAAATCGACTTTCATACTAAAATTTTTTCTCTTACTATAAAAATAGAGGCTGGTCAATTTATAACTACTAACCCTGTATGCCACTTTCAACTTTGTAATTTTTGGTTTACTTCAAGTGAATTTTGAGGTACATATAAAGCAGGCATGACAAGAAAGAGAAAACAACAGTGTCCAACCATATGATGTAGGTAACCTCAATACCGGCTACCCAATTATATTGGCCAATAAATTGCCTTAACTAGCAGGTGGTCACGTAACTGAAGTTAGCTCTACCTACATTTAATGGTATCATTACTTCTTGGAACAAAAGTAATGCTAATTAAGAAAGTTAAGATACCTAAATTAGGCTTTTGTCCCAGCTACTTTCACCTAGTTAGTAGCTAGTGAAGCTTTGAACAAATTCAACTAAGTAAATTATCACATATATTAGGGTAGAGTGGGGCTACACTAATCTACAATAAATACACAAATGATATTTTTACCATCAACTGAAGTCTCAATATTGGTTTCAAAGACATGTGCCTTTGTAATCTTTTTGTCCCAATGTGCCGCTAACCAAATCCGGGCCAGCGGCCCCTTCTTGGCCAAAATAAAGTGCGAATAAAACATGTTAGGGGACCGTTTTCACTGGGTCTAAAACTGGCTTTGACCCCCCTGGGTTATACACTAAAAATGAAAAAGTAAACAATCAATTTTTTTTCAGATAATTCAATAATTCTATTATACTTATTATTTTCTAGATTAGAAGCTTGCATTTTATGGAAAAACAAAGGTTGGCATTAAATTCATGGATTTTCCATAAAACACACACACAACAAAAATATAAGGGCAGTGCACTTGTGAGTTGGCGCCCAAACCTGTTTTTGACGGTTACGACTCACCTGGTCGGAAAATTTTTACGTCCCGCTCTTGTCCCACATGTGTAAATTGTATTCGACGAAAAACTGATCGGAATTTCCCATTCCAGATCGTGGAAATTACAAAAGCATCTACAAGATTTACAAAACGGTTAGGCGCACTTCAATATGGCGTCGCGACTGGATTTTGATTTTAGGTTTGTTTGGGGCGCAGTGGCGCACGACGCAACGTTGCCAACTCATTTTTCAATAATCCCTACCAATCATGACGTCACAAAATCGAACATATTGACAATGCTTTTGTGCTTTTTTGTTCTATCTATCGTATACCCATCGTTTACCACACTTTTCTCAATACTTTTTCCCAATTAATCGGCGTATAAAATATTGTTTTATTTATTCAGAGACCAAACTCACACTCTAGACAAGGTTAGAAAATGACAGACCAAAACCAAAATGGAGTGAGGTAAACTTTTGAAATCGCTATATTATATCGTACCCACAAAATTTGCATGACCTGAAAAGAGATGGCAATAAAATATCTTTTTGTTTTGGCTTGTTTGAAAGAAAATTGAACAGGCTAATTCAAAATGGCGGACTCCTTCATAAATTACCTAATTTTGGATAGCGCTGGATTTTTTCTGTGACCCCCTGTATAACATTTTCTCATAAATTCTGAAAGTTCATACTAATTTCGCGAACATTTTATTGAGATCTCGACAGGAAATATCGGTTGAAAAATAAGTGAAATATTGAAATTTTTGTAATATCGAATATCACCTTTTCATATCCAAAATTAGGTAATTTTTGATGAAGTCAGCCATTTTGAATTTTTCTCAAATTTCAAAAGTTTCACTTTGATTCGTTAGCCTCTTCAATTTTCTTCCAAACAAGCCAAAACAAAAGGAAATAAGCTTATGATTACATCACTTAAGTGTTCAAAAAATCCCTGAAATGATAATGATCAACATCTTATGAATCTTTCGATCTAGGGATAAATCTGTATGGACGGCAACGCTGTTTCGAAACTTGAACCTTGAGTTGCCTCGTTTCTTTTTCGAGCGCAGCCGCGTGCAACGTTGCCAGTTTCATTCGAAAATTCGAATTTTTGTGGAGAGAATATCAATAATTTCTGGTCGGTAATGAAGAGTTCTGGGGATTCTCCTCCTGTTCCTGGGGAATGTTGCCTTTACACTGATAGATGATGCGGTTTGTACAGGCAGCGGCCAAGTGGTTGCGAAAGTTTCATTTATTTGTCGATTGTCGCCACTGTTTGTAAAGGTTTATCGAGTCACCGTAAGTATGATAAGTTACAGTGACCAAATAAATCTCAATCATTCACATACAGTGGCGACAAATTTTTGGGCTTGCTTCTTGCTAATTTTAATGTGTGTACACTTGGCCAATCATAAAACTGGTACCTACGCATTTTCCCATTGTGTTGTATTATGTAAATAGAACTTTTTTATCACCTCTGGGCGGTTACACACGGACGTGGATGTCTTAATACATATACGTGCATACATCAACGTGCAAACAACAACGTGCATGGCGCTTTTGTACAGACGCTCGCACAAAACTGCAGTCTTGCTATTCTTGCTACAGTATTCCGAGTGTGTATACAAAATTGCACATTCAAAAACGCGGCGGTATTTTGCATACACATTGATGTTTTTGTTTATCGCGTTCATGTATGTGCGTACATGTTTTCAGACATCCACGTCCGTGTGTAACCGCCTAATAATGACAAAGAGAGTCAAGTCAGGTCATATACCGGGTGTTCCGAAATTAATGCACCAAATTTTTATGACATATTCTACGTTGTCAATAAGCCCTAGTTACCTATATAAACATATGTCCGGAAACGCTTCCTTTCCGAGATACAGGGTGTTGAAATTGTATGAAAAAACTATTTTTTTATCATTGTTCATGCCACTTTGAAATTTTGTACACTGCTTTCAAGCAATAAAAGACTTTTTCTAATGTGAAATATTCGAAAGAAAAATACCAGTGACGTCACAAAACTAATTTGAAACTTTAGGTGTTTAATTTTTATCATAATTTTGGCAATTTCTCCATGAATCAAAATGGTTTTTAATTTTTTTACTCTATAAGCGGTGCATCTTTCGGAAAAAAGTGAAGAGATCAAATTTATTCCAACTTGAATGGGGATGTCAAAAATTATTTTTCTACTTGCGTGCGCAAAGTAATCACTTTGCGCACTCATTTGCGTGCGCAAAGTCGGAAACTCTTTGCGCACTCATTTTTGTTACGTTTGAAATAATTACCATAGTTATACTTGATTTTCCAATTTTTTGATGGTTTCTGAATAAACTAATACTCAAAATGAAAGGTTTTAGTTGAAATTAGCGCTTAGTTAACATGATGACTATTGTTTCTTATCATGGGTGTCCAAATGGGACCAGCCTATACTGCTAGAAATTTGTAGAATTTTTGATATTTAAAGAGACTGTCATGAAAATATTCTAGCTGGTATTCTAAAAATTTCAGAAGATGTTAAAAGATTTTTGGGGATTTAATTTAAAAGACATTCTGAGGAATTCCAATGGATTTTAAACGATTTTTGAAGATTTTGATTTGATTGATTTTTCTAATATTTTAACCATTCAAAGTCTACTTTTTTAAGATAGAAAAAATATTGTTCCTAACACTTGCGCAAAGTGTCTTTCCCGCACTCAAAGCTTATCCGAACTCCGCTTCGCGTCGTTCGTCTAACTGCTTTTTCGTGCGGGAAAGTATCACTTTGCGCACTTGTTAGGAAAATAACTATTTTATTTTAGGAAAAAGCAGTGACACACCATTTTTTTTCTTAAAAAATATTTCTTACAAATCTGGTAGGACGCCACTGGTAATTTTTTAAAAAAATATTTTTTGATGTGAAATAGTGTTATTTATGATATAAGTGCTAAAAGTGACATTTTATTTTGTGAAAAGGGAAGTTTAGGACACGACGCCGAAGGCGGAGTGTTCCATCCCTTTGAACAGAATAAAATGACTTTTAGCACGAATATCATACACTATTTTTTCTACAAACGCACTAAAAGTGATTACTTTTAGCACTAATGCTAAAAGTAATCACTTTTAACACCAGTGTCATAAAATGGCATTTTAGACACTGACAGCATCCGTTAAAAATGACACTTTTAGTGACGTTTGTAGAAAAATGTCTTTTGCTGCTTAGAAACAGTGTACAAAATTTCAATAAAATATCTAGAGTGGTTTGAAACTTATGATAAAAAAATAGTTTTTTTCTTAGAATTTCAACACTCGGTATCTTGGAAAAGAAGTGTTTCCGGACATATGTTTATATAGGTAACTGGGGTTGATTTTCAACGTAGAATATACCATAACAATTTGGTGCATTAATTTCGGAACACCCTGTATAAACCAATCATAACATAAAAACACGTTGCATTTAGGTACTTTTGTTCAACTTTGACGTTGACAAAAACTGCCAGGCCAGGCTGACTTTTTGTTGTTAAGCCTGACTCACACTAGGCAAATTTGGAAAATATAATATAGGTTCGTTCCAACCCAGCCAAAAACCGTTCAATGTACGGTCACGGTCATGCGCCATAGGTTAAAGGCGTTCCAACCGAGAGATGATCGTTTACCGTACAGTTTCGTTGGCGTTCCAACCAAACCTGGGATCGTTCGAGAACTGGTTTTAGCACCGTCATTTCGATCCCGAGTGGAAAGCAAGAACCGCGTGGACTGATTCATGACTGAAATGCGTAATTCAATTTTTGTCACCTGTTGTTGTTGTTCATGTTGTTGTTAAACAACCAATTTCCAATCTAACTTATAAAACTGTAGCATTTTTATTTTTTCAAGTGAAAAAAAGTACAAAATTTATTATCAGCTATTTGCTAATCCTTGATGTTATCAGCTTGCAAGGATTCCGTTTCAGATTCTTGATAATGAATCAGCGTTGGTGTTCGATTTTCCTTTTTTTATATATTATTTTGTAATCCTAATCCTATATTCTTTTATTTTAATTTGCAAACAAACAAATTTAGGGTTAAAGTTATTTGAACTGTCGTCATTACAAAAACGATCATGAAACCGTTCCAACTACCCGTTGTTTCTGTACCAAGATAAAACCGTGCAAGGTCAACGCATGCGCCTGCAATCGATCCTAACAGTTACAAAACCGTTTCATGACGATACGAAAACGGGGGGTTGGAACGAACCTTATTGCCTGTACCAGTTGTACATATTCGATGGCTATTATTAGCAGGGCCGTAGCTAGAGTCAAAATTGTGATATGACAAAGGACCCTGCTCAAAGTATACGGAAATTGTGTTTATGTCAGAATTGGCTGAATTTTGTATGTAATGTAGATCACGCCTTTCTGATCAAAAGTTATCATCGCACCAATCTTGAAAAATTACTGCACGTAGTACACCACTGCGCCGCAAGCTTACGTATTTGTGCTACATTGAACGCCCATTACAATGTCCAAGTGTTATACACTTGCTATATACCTATGAAATTAATTTTCTCAAAAAAGGAGTCATTTTTCAGGATTGGTGCAATGGTAACTTTTAATCAGGAAGACGTTTTCTACATCATATACAAAATTCAGCCAATTCTGACATAAACACAATTTCCGTATACTTTAGGCAGGGTCCTTTTGAAATAGGACATAAACTACTTGCCCCCCTCCACCCGCCCTTAAATTATAGGTAAACAATTTGGTGGTGATGGCCGAAGGCAAATTTTTCAATAAATAACATCTCTGGCAAGTAAACAAAATGGCGCAGATTCCCGCGCCGCCTTGGACCATTCGAACCAAGGATAATACAAACTAATAGTGAAATCCATTGGTAGGTTCAGTGCGCACTGAGTGCATTTGTGTCCTCTTTTGCTAGCCTGTAAAAGAAAGTGATAGAAATACATGTTTTTTGCACTAATTTCATCAATGGTTTTCGCCATAACTACTACTACTATTACAGGATAGCTTATCATTATAAGGCCTGTGTATATCAAATCTCAAGCCCTCCACTACGCCAAAGAACCAGTGATTACGTAGGCAGCGTGTCATTGCTCGCCTGGACGTAGGGTGTTTTCACCACAGGTTATGATCCCATGATAACATTTTTCATTATAAATGTATATTCTAAACTACGACCGCTGGCGCAAACAGCTT